TCCTGCGTTGGCCCATCCTCCGCTGGGGCGTTTAGGGTGGGTCCTTCTTGCTGCATTGCACCTTCCGCCGGGGTGAAGAAATCTGTGATGGCCCGCTGGCGGGACCTCTGTTGCTGGGGCTGCCCCACCACCTGTCGCTGTCGCTGCTGCTGCTGCTGTCGCTGCTGCTGCTGCGGTCCTGCCGTTGCTGTCGCCCCCCTCCGTCCCTGTCGCCGGGTTGCTGCTCGGAGGCAGCACCTGCCGACTTCCATGGCGGATAGCGCCGCTAGGGCGATCACGTCCCACGGGCCCTGCTCACACCCGGGTGGCGCTTGGGCAAGCCAGAGCTGCTGCCGGGTGGTGGTATTGTTACTGCTGCTGCTGCTATTGTTACTGCTGCTGCTGCTATTGTTACTGCTGCTGCTGCTATTGTTACTGCTGCTGCTGCTATTGTTACTGCTGGTGCTGCTATTGTTACTGCTACTGCTGCTATTGTTACTGCTACTGCTGCTATTGTTACTGCTGCTGCTGCTATTGTTACTGCTACTGCTGCTATTGTTACTGCTACTGCTGCTATTGTTACTGCTGGTGCTGCTATTGTTACTGCTACTGCTGCTATTGTTACTGCTACTGCTGCTATTGTTACTGCTACTGCTGCTATTGTTACTGCTACTGCTGCTATTGTTACTGCTACTGCTGCCATTGTTACTGCTACTGCTGCGGCTGCCCTCCCTTCCCGCCATGTCCCCCATCGCGCCACGGGGACGTTCCATTTTTCGCTTACACGTACATACATACATACGTACAGTGTGTGCGGGGCCGCGGGCGAATCCGGAAGATGACGAGACGTCGTACAACCCGAGGACCAAACGCGGCAAAATGATCATTGCGGCAGCACGGAAACTGGTGTGTATGTATGTATATATGTGTGTGTGCGTATGTATGTATGTGTGTTCCGGGGTGGGGTTGGGGGTGGGCTGCTGTCCTGGCGGGGCCCTGGAAGGCTGTGGGGCGAGCGTAGTGGGATGTGTACGGGATAGTTTCTGGCCTTACTTTTGAATTTAAATAAACGCGCGGGGACCTGCAACGACTACCGTATTTTCCTTGTGTGCGGTTGTATATATCTACGACTAATTATAAAATTCGTGCGCGCGTGTGGCAAGTGTGCGACATGCGGGGATCCGCCGTACATTCACGTAGCCGTACAGACATCTCCGTACCCTGTTGTATGGTATCTGGGTCATCTCCTCGCTATAGCCTCCGTACTGCACATTCAATTCGGTTTTTGTCTTTATCACGGATGCCGTTGTTACCGCTGTTACCGTTATACTGTTTAGTTACTGTTGTTATCGTCATCATCGTGCCATTACTGACGATACCGTACGTCGTACGTCGTCGTACAATGTCGCTGTCGTACCACGGCAGGTGGAATTGGCCCACAAGGAGAGCCTTTTCCTCGGAGCGTCCGTTAAGAAGCAACAGCAGCAATCGCAATCCCAACCTGCCGCCTCTACATCAGCTCAATCTGCTCCGCCAGCAGCGAACGGCATCGCTACCAGCGCCGCTGCTGCAGGCAGCAGTAGCAATAGTAGCAACAACAACAACAGTTCGACCGCTGCTGCGACTGGTGCTACAGCCGCGCGCAGGACAGGGGCCGCCAAGCTTGCCACGCGGCGGGTGGCTCGGAGCTCTGCGACCACCACCCCCACAGCTGCCGCCGCCACCTCATCACCCACCACTATTACTACAGCTACAACAACTTCATGCGGCGACGGCAGTAGCGCCAACCCCGTCACCATCTCCTCTGCTGCTGGTGAACCGTCCACAGCCGACACGGCGGCTGCTACTGCTGATCCCCATGTCGCAGCGGCGGTGGCAGCTGACAAAGCAGAGGGTGCTACAGCCGCCGGGGCGGGGGCCGGGGGCTCCGAAACCCCAACCGCGACAACCGTCAGTTGTTCCAAGCTCAGTTGCGCGGACTGCGGGACGACGTGTGACGGGGTGGCTGAGGCGCAGCGGCACGCACTCGCGACAGGGCACCAGAATTTTAAAGAGGACGTTGCCTGATCTGGATCGAGATCTAGATCTTGACAATCGAGCACCATACATTTCACCACCACCACCACGACACGGGTAATGCGCGTAATTCGCAACATACATACATACTTACACGGCTGACGCTACGGACCACACGCTACTGTATGTACGGCAGGGGCTTCCGTCGTTTGCAACGGGGAAGTGTACGGCTTTGCTTTGCTGCTGGATGATATGAAGCGAAGTGAAGTGAAGTAAAGCAGCCTGGTAAGATAGGTCGAAGAACACCTTCTGGCAGTTTTCCCGTGCCCCCAACCCCCAACCCCCAGGCCCCCGGGGGGATTTCCCGACCCGATGTGTTTCTTGGATGTCCAGTCCTCCGGTGCATGGCTGTGTGGCTCCAAAAGGGGGAGAGAGGGGGGTACCGCCTGCCGTTTTTGTGTTTTAGTGATACCTTGGTGGCCCCTCGCGAGATGTGTGTGTATGTATGTATGTCATGTTTCTGACCAGCACACCTGTGTATGTGCATATGTCACGCCGGTATGTGGATCTACATACATACGTACATGTGGAACTTCATACACACGCGGCACATCCTACTTTAGTATCCATCTCGCTCTTTTCCCCTCGTGGTTCGGTTCCTTAGTCATCAGATATAATCGCAATATGAATAGGAAGTTTGGAAGTTGCTACTGCCGGCTATACGCTTAGTTTCCATTATTAGGAAGCCTTACTCATATTTGCCCGCTGCTATTTTGCTCCTGGCTGCGGGCGTTTTTCGCCGAGTATCGCTACGGAAGTAGAGGGGTTGGGAGGCAGATAAGAGAGGCCGAGCGGGAGAGGTAGGGGGATTGGATGGTGCATGTGCGGGGAGAGGCGGCGTGAGGTGTTGAGATGTTTGGGAAGCAGCCTGTGTATGTGATCCGGTCGAGATAAATAAAACTGCAGTACAGGGGATTGCGGAGCCCCCTCGGGATCCCGTCCCGACAGACAGACAGGTAGGAGGAGGAGAGTCAACTCTCGCGTCCAGCCCGGACCAGAACCTGTAGTTATAATGCTAATATTGTTCCCGCGACCTCGCAGTTCGAGCCGCTTCGCTTCCAACAGACGGCTTCACCCCCCTACCCTCGCTGAGACAGCCTATCCAGCCATCTATACTTTTATCCACATCGTTACAAGTCATTTTCATGTATCTTTTTCGCGTTTTTAGGTATCTTCGTCTTTGCGCCAATACCACTCGTCCGTCACCACCAGAAAGGGTGGAAGGATGCAAACCCCCTCGCACTCCCTCTCCAAAACTCTTATGTGTTGTTTGTAATACTAGTTGACTAGCTGCCGACGTCAATACGTTCCCTGTGTTGCGGTCGCGGTAATGATGGTGATAATGGTGGTAGCAGTAGTTGCAATACACACACAGACAGACACACGCCCCGGTACAGAAGTAACATCCGAACACATCCGAGCCACAAGACCGCCTCCGATGTAAGAGGCCCAAGGCCGCCGCTCTCTCTTCCGCCACAGCCCCCTCCTCTCTCTCTCCTTCCCCCCCTCTCCCACAGCCAAATACCCCACACACAACAGGCGGCTGGCAGAGGTTAAGGCCTGGCTTCTGCTCCCGTCGCGTCACGGCGCGTCCGGGTTCAAATCCGCCTGCCGACCTCTCGTGGTGTTTGAGAGGTGATGAAATGGGAGGTGGCCCCCCATCTTGTGGACGGTGTAGGACGTGATAAAATCAACTCGCGAGCTGACCAGGAACTAAGTTGACGCGCCGTTGATCCGCTAGATTTGGTTGGATGCTGGTGGTGAGTTGCCAAACTCAAAGAGTACACTCTGAAGTCGGATGGGGTGAATGGCTTAGGGTGCCCCTCTAGCAGGGGAGAGCAGGGAATTGCCTCGGGTAGGAGGCCACTGGTGAAGCTTAACCACCCTGTAACAACATCAACAAGGAGGCCGCACCACACGCCCCAACCGTCACTGACATTCAAAAATCCACACAACACACGAGCGTACACGGTCACATAGCCACAGCAGACCATGAAGTTGGCTGCGTGAGACGGTTGTGGTAAAACCCGTGGCGGTGGATGGGGGGGAAAAGACGTGTGCGCAAAGGAGTGCGCATAGACAGAGTTAAGATACCCGACCACCAGCAGCAAGCGCCTGCGCAATTCTCAAGCGTCTGCCCTTTGAGAAAAATCTTCTTTGATGTTCTTGACGGCACTATGCAGCAAAACCCTGAACGCTCCCCAGCTGTGACGACCACTTCACGCCAGGCCCGAGCAGCAGAAGGGCGTCACTGCCCCTTTATTGCCGCAATCCTGCTGCTCATGCAGCTGTTGTTCGTTCCTGCCGTTGCCCCCGCTGCCCCCCCTCCCCGTTGCCAGCTCTGCCAGTACGATTTCCCAACATTTAGTGTTTTACCCTCGGTCCAAGTGCGTGTCGGGGTCCAAAGGTGCGTCGGAAGCGACGAGCAACCACCCAAGTAGCTGTCCCTCCTCCTCCCCCTCGCCATGCTGTCCTTTCCCTCTCCGTATACGAAACCTGCCTTCGCGGTCTGTCCCGCTATTGCACTCGCTCTCCTCCACCTTCCCGCACTGGCATCCTACCCTCCGAGCCTGCTGCTGCTTCCATTGCTGTTAGAACGGCCACACAGCGACAGCCAATACTAAAACTGCGTGTGCAGCATGCTGCGGTCAATCAACCGAAACTACCCCACCATCAGCACGATTACGTACCACCGCATTTCGCCCCACCGCAATAACACGCCAGTGCACACACACATGCACGTCTAAGACATTCGCACACAGAGGAAAAGTACTCTGCTAGGACCGCACACGAGACAATTGCCAACGATTCGTTCCCCGAACCCCTTCTAAAACCCAGCCCCGGCAATCCAAGCCTAAGAAGGCGTCCGTCAATCATTTCATGCAATTCCAGACCGTGCCAAGGCTTCCGACAAGCCGAAGTCGTCTGCCCCACCCTCACCCTCTTCTTCCTCTTCTTCTTCCTCCTCATCTTCCTCCATGTTGTTGTCCAGCGGCCCAAGTGCTGCCGACTTGCCCGCACCCTCCATAACACCACGCAGCTCATCCAGACCTGCGAAGAGAAAGCGAGGGGAAGCGAGTTCTTAATGGAAGAAAAGACTGCCGTCTCAAATACACGCGACCCATTAACGGGCCCCTAATCCAGTCTTCCCGCAGGGCCGCAACCCTTGACATGGGGAAGAGGGAGGAGGAGGGCGCATGTACGGGGAGGGAGGTCGCAACAAGACGAGGAGGAGACAGTTCTTCCTTCTCATATATAGTGTTTTTTATAATAATAATAATAATAATAATAATAATAATAATAATAATAATGCAACGGCACACATCCCGTTCTTGTTATTGTCATAATGATAATGTTGGACCGACCGTCATCGCTGATGGTATTTTCGTCCAGTGCGAGCAGCTCCAAGGAGGATTTGGACACCAGGGCCCTGGCCACTGCCACCGCACCGGCACGGCGGATCTGCACACAGGAACCCGGGGCAGATGGGGCACACACATAGACACACATACACACAAGAGGAGGGTGATGGTGTAGTAGCTGGTACACAGTACGGCTATACAAATACGCGCTAAGCGCGACCGCCAGTATCTCCAGAGGCCTTTTCAGCGGCCAGCTACTACAGATGGGGAATAAACAGGTGGACCGGTGGAATGGGTGTGGTGGAAGAAGAAGCGGCGGGTGGCCGCGACGGGGCGGGGATACATCACTCCTCTCTCTCCCTCTCTTTTCCTGCCCCGACCCCCGCCCCCCTGCACCCCCCCCCCCGCCCCGATCCCATAACACATCATGCCTCTACCCACCGGACACCGACCTTCATCCTAAGCTCCCATACATCTCCTCTTCATCGCCCTTCTCCTCTACATCCCTGACCATAT